GACAGAACCACAGCTTCATAGACGTATGACTATGTGAGTAGTCCTCCCAGTGCTAGGGACTGCCTACTAATACAAGATCAGCATATTATACAGGTTGGTAAACGTTATAAATTAATTACTGTTTTTTTTTTAATTAATGATTTAAATTTACACTTGCTTTTATTTTCCAGCAAAACTAAATCAAAAATTTGCGAAAGTTCACAATAAAAATAAAGACTTATTAACAAATAAAAAAGTATTCTAAAAATAAAAACCCAAGTAAGGGTGTAAGCACATACAATATTCATTAGCTATTTGTATATTAATCGTCAAGATAACATGCAATGCAATACAATTTAAATGTCACTGTCTTGCTAAATGTAATGTAAAATAATAATTTAAGAAACTTAATTTTAAAATACCGAAAATAATATTTTAAAATTTTTTATCACTATGATTTTCACTCGCAAGGCATGTATCACATATTATATTATAAAAATGGAGTGTTGAAGATGAATTCGCAGTTTATACTTTAGTATTATAATTATTAATAAAAACAGACAAATACAACCCGTGTGATATCGAAATAAGATAAGAAAAACTAATAAGATCATGCGGATAATAGGATCATTTCAAAGGCTGGCGGTAAAATAATGTTTTATTATAGGCGTGCTCATACCATATGTAAAATGTACATTAGAGATAATATAACCTATAATATGCAACGACAATTATTTTTTTTGACAAGGTAAACATAACTGGTTTTTTTACGTTGTCAAAAATCATTTATCATTTCACAATGCGGCAGCGTTACTGAAGCGATTTGATGTTGTCACTGGCGTTTTAATTTACATCTAAGAAAAATCATTTTTATCTGTAAAATTACATGACAAAATCAATTGTTTTTTTTTTTTTAATTTTTGTAACCTAATAATTTTTAGTAAAATTTCAAAAAAAAATTATAGAACATACATACTCCCATTTCCGAGAGGGTTTTAGGGCAAGGAATAGTCCGCCACGCTGCCCCAATGCGTGTTGGCGAACTTCACATGTCTTCGAAATATTTTTTTCTTATTTCTCAGACATGCAGGTTTCCTCACGATGTTTTCCTCCACCGCCAAGCACGTGGTAAATCAGCACTTAAGATTGCAATTAACAATTTCATTGGTGCCGACGGGGATCGAACCCGGTTTGCTGTCGTATTGTGAAATTTACAGCGAGCGCTAACTATCTGAGCTGCCACGGCTCTTTAAATAAGGAGAAAGCACATAGCTTTACTTATTTCCAATTTCAAATTCATATTGTTATTTCGTAAATATTATATAATTTATCTACATTAACCCTGTCCCATGAATCATATATGAAGATTTCGATTGCTTAACTATCGTCTGAGATTTTGTCGTATTAACGAGTGTCTATTTCGCGGACAGGGAAACCTTTAAGCATAAAAATTAACTCAACAGTAATAATTAGTGATAACATTTGATGTCGTTGCTCATACGGGGAAATTGCCATAGCTGCCACGCTTGGCAAGCGGGTTGCCAACCGCAATGGTTATAGTTTTCTTATTGTTATTGGGAAGACGCTGCTGTCCATCTCCTGGTGCATTACGGCCACTAGAAGTAGAGACGAATTGGTAAGAGATGCAGTAGACTCAGGACCGTGTTATATAACATTAAATAGTCAAAAATAAATTTATTTATTCAAATTTGTAATAGTACCTGGATGACCGAGCTTTGCTCGGTTTTAATTTAAAAAAATTATGCAATTAGTTTAATTAAAATTTTCATATTTTTAAAAAATACTAAAAAAGGGCTCGAATAATCGATTTTCTCACAAAAGAAGGAAACTTGAAAAATAAAAGGAAAAAGTCGGACCGAAGACTGGACGCGAGCCAATGAGCATTACGATTTCGCGACCGCTCGAGCTATTACGATCATTAACATAATGTCAAAATTTACTTTCCTATATTGTAGCAGTTTTTCATTGTCTAAAAACACGAACAAAAAGACATTTTCTAAAAATAAGCTAGATCGATTTATTGCCCCCGAAACTCCCTGGACACAAATTTTTACGAAAATCGTTGGAGCCGTTTCCGAGATTCCGATTATATTTCGTAATAATATATATACAAAAATTGCCCGTTTAAAGGTATAGGATAGGATACATGTAGGTATGCTTTAAGATTATACAATACATCACTGTGACAAACAAAAATTGTTACATTAAACAACGTCAAAATAATCGACTACGTATATCATACGAGTGAGCGTACACTTATATATCAACTAACATTTACGTTCAAAGAAAATATGTACGTCAGTGCAAATATTAAAGAGAAGCAATAGAAAACTATGTATTTAAATACATAAAAAACATAATATGAGGATGGTACAATCGCATGAGCTTGCGCTTCAAAAAACAAAACAAGCAATTCAAGAGTTGATAATTCGTTCGCCGGCTATTTCACGAGCTGTACAATAAAGAGCGGAAATAAGAACAAAAAGGCTACTATTGATAACAACATTTTTGTGCCACTTCGCCACTTAGTCCAACAGTAGTTACAAAGATCAATAGTTTCAACAGTTTGTACAAATGTCTGGTCCATTTACAACAAAACTATTAGAAAAGTAGGTTCTAGGTTGTTCTAGGTTGTGCTATATGTAGCAGTGCTAATCTCAGTCCTCAGAGGTGACAACGCATTTTGTAACTTTCTTCGTCATAAGTTGGTTGCAGCCCATGGCCCGCAGTAGCCACTTACACTTACTTCAGGTGGACAGTTAGCTCTTTTATCAATTCTGATAATTTACAAAAAAACAGTAGTACTAGTACTAAATTCCGAAGCGGTTTTGCAGATGAGCACAGCATTTATAAATAAATGTTGATGATATAAAAACGTAACTGTCGCTTTACATACATAAAGTACATACATATATTATATGTATACTCGTACGCCTATCACTCATAATGGTAGGCAGAGATTACGAACTTCCATTTGGCAGAAGCCTGACATGATCCTTTCACATCTTTTATTGTTGTCTGTTGTACTTTCTAAATTTTAGAACACAGTTTGAGGCTAAGGTACTTAAAAGAGTCCCGAAATCTGGATTCAAATCCTAGAGAGAGTTAAGCTAATATTATCTATTTGTTACACTGAAAGGATTTTTGTAGACAGATAACTCTCCGTATTTAATAGACGGAAACACGGAGCGACAGTGGGGGAGAGAAGTCCGCGCAAGGACGTTTCCAAGCAATGCTTGCCTTACTCATGAATATGTTGTTTTTGTTACCGTGCAGTGACGGTCTGCGGTTACCCGCCTTCCGCCTTCCTTGCGTGACATTTATGGCAAATATCTCCCCTGTGATCTATGGCGGAGACAAATTCAGCAGTGGACTTAATAAGTTTAATAGTCTGTAACAGTAATGGTTTTTTATTTGGTTCACGTATAATTTATATATATTTAATGAACGTTATCTCCACAACCTTCATTGTTTATATATGACTATATAAATGAGAAATACTTTGCAAATGTGTCGCATCAATCACATACAGGCGGATGTTGATCATTGATAAACAATGGTGATGACTGCATTGGTTAAAACAAGTATACGCAAATAACAACATGAAATTATTCACAATTTTTTTTATTTATATTTTCCTTGCATTATATTTTAATGCATAATGTTAATATTTTACGCAATATTTAATTGTATTATATAGTTTCGATATGCGCCAATTTCGTAAATTATTCAACACTGGGGCTAGTAGCATTTAACTAATTGTATTTTACACAATACTGTAATATCTATCTAGATGATAAGATCGCGATATGTAGATAAAGTAAATATACTGATTAACCGCGTACATCAAAATGTAACTGCTGACTTATGTGATCTCGCTTGAGTTTATATTTTTTATATTTTATTCAATTCATCATCGTCATCACCATCATTTCACATCACGACGTTGTAGATCCACCATGCAGTTTTATTATGGTTGTAGCACGAATGTACCGATTTGACAGGGGAACACGCTCACGGTCTTTCAAAATACCCGCGTAATAGCACCTTAATACTGCTGAATATCGTATGGTGAGTGTAGAAAACCCGAAACCCGTTTTACTGGTAACGAGGCATTCTATATTAGTATTCGGGCTTTCAATGCATTTAATCTCGATCTTAATCGAGAGAAGATGTAGGTATGTAGGGGCCCAAGTATACACTTACCATCAGGCAGAGTGTGGGGTCGTTTACCACCCTTATCCTATGAAAAAACGTTCACTTCTAAACACACAAACAGGCTTATCATAATGAGGAGGAAAACAAATCGGGTATGATTCGATTCGGTTCGGTTACGTTAGGTGTGATTAACCTGTCCTCAGGGTAATCTTACCTGAAATTAGTCAGGGAAACTTTTATCGTGACTCGGTATCGACAACAGAAAGGGACATGAGTATTTTTTCTTCTTTACAGTTTATTATTTATTAAATTCTTAACAAAAACTGTGTTGTAAAGCGCTCGAAACGTAAGGTACAAAATCCGTAATATTAGTTTTATTTTGTATTACATTGTTAAAAGTTAATATTTCAATTATATTAAATACTTCTATGAGGGCATTCAAATCTGTTTTATTTTGCTTATTTATATTAAGATTTTTACATTTGGTACAATCAGAGAGTTCAAGTCTTTTAGTAGGTCACAAAAGGGTAGGCATAAAAATAACCGAGCCAGGGCTAAAAAAGTATGTTCTTATAATTCCGTATGTCGTAAGAGGCGACAGAGGAATACTCGAACATGTAAGTACTAATAAATTCATCCACATTCTTCATTTAAAATATTATGGTAATATTAATAATAAAATTAATCCTCAATAACTGTAATCTTTATGAGCAATGAATACTTAAAAGTAACATAAAAACTTGCCACAAAAACTTCTTTTTATTTCTACTCTAACTTACCTTTTCTGGACCTTCAATATATTAGGTTGCACTAATTTAAGTTACAAGAAAATAAATACCAACCTTAAGATAACACCATCCACATCTAGTGTATTCTGCTGTATATTTCGTTGGAAAAGCCGAAGTTAGATGTTCAGCAACCTTCTGAGCCCAATTGCGTCTTTCAGAGGCGCTTGAACAACTGAACAGTATTTTACGAGGGCTGCTGCGGACTCCGCTCGTTGACACGGATATCTCGAAGCAATATGAATTACTCGTGGTACTGTCGATACAAATACACTCTTATTAATATATTGGATTGGATTAAAAAAAAAAATATTTGAAATATGCAATCATGAAAAATTTGGTTGTTTGACTCGGGTCGAGTAAAATTATTGTTGATCGCAATAAATTTTTTGATTGATCCAGAACAAACCGTTGCCGGAATGTTTTTACCTGTGAATGAGTGATTTGAGCAAATTGTGAATGTTACAGTATAATGCAAATTACTGAAGCCTTTTTATACTTATGATTCAAAATGAATGTGATAGTTGCTTCAATATATACTAATAACATAATGTAGAAACTTTGTATGAGTTTAAAATAAATGTTTATGACGGGACATATACAAGACTATTTTAGCTTTAGTGGCACATATATATGAGATACAAATGCTTATCATTTGTTAAGTTAGATATTATTCAAATATTAATCATAACACATGGTAAAAAGCTCTGAAAACAATGTTATAGAGTAGTTAAAAAATACGGTAAGTTTGTTTGTAAACAACTAAACCAAGTTCCAGACCAAGGAACCGGATTAAGCAAACTTCTTAATTTAATTAAGTCACAGACTAAATGAATTTATCGACAACATTTTTTGTTTCACTAATGGCACCTTAATAGAAGTGTCTATGGAATGGAATAGGGGCAACAACTTTGTAAAATTTTAAAAAACAAAAAAGATGGAAATAATATAGTTATTTTCTACCATGCAAAATATTATGTGCATGAAGAGTTAACTACAAGAATTTTCTTTTTATTTTAAGATTGCTTTTAGCAATAGAACACATATATATCACATGCATGCATGGTACATGGAGTGAGAATCCAGGGCTCTTACCCTAAAATAAGTCTAGAGGTACTGAAAAGTAAGTTGTAAGTTGATTTGTCTAACACATATTTATACCACCTATTACTTATTATAGGTAGTTTAAACTAACTATAATAAGTAATAACCACTAGTCCTTATGTATAAGTATGTTCAAAAGTTCTCATTTGTTTTTTCTGCTTTCTAAATGGAACTCGAAACGTTTTACACAATAGGTCTAAATTTATGATGGTCCTGAGTGCTTGCAAATTATTCAAGACTCGGCTAAAAAACTAAGTCCTTTTCACGAAAGACATTTCTCTCAATTTATGCATTGGAGTTTTGCTACAATTACCATCTTAATTACTAGCACATCCATCCTTAGTGAATTTGAATCATATTATTTCTAACATAAGAGTGAATATAAGCAACTCTGATTAAGCATCCATATTATTGAATTGTTGATATTTCATTATAATATCCTGAAGAACTGGAGTAAGCAAGTTATGATAGAAGGAACTACATAGATAAAAAATAATGTGCATATATTTTCTGTTCTTATTTTGAAAATATATTAATCAGCTCTCAGAGCTGGAAGAAGAGATAGGCAAGTTGCGCTGGAATATTAGAGGATTATCCGAGGTCCAAAGAGAGGGGGAGGACACAATAATTCTCGAATCCGGCAACTTGTTCTATCACCGGGAGGGCGACCATCTGTCCCAAGGAGGTTTTGGATTTATCGTCCACAAGTCTCTTGTTAACAATGTTTTAAAGATTGGGAGGGTATCCACGAGAGTTGGGCACCTTATACTCAGAATCACCAAACAGTATTCACTGAAGGTCATACAGGTTTACGCGCCAACGTCGGAACACCCCGATGAGGTGGAGGAAATGTATGAGGATACTTCTAGAGCCATGCATTCCTCCAAAACTCACTATACGGTGTTAAAGGGAGACTTTAACACAAAACTGGGCACAAGAAAGAACGGTGAGCTGAAGGTAGGTAATGGTATAATAAAAAGGTAATTTTGGGATAGGGCAACGAAACTCAAGGGGCCAGCAGCTGGCCGACTTCATGAAGAGGGACTTTTTATGATGAACTCTTTCTTCCAAAAGTGACCCCACAGAAAGTGGCCCTGGTCGAGCCCCAGCGGTTCGACAAAAAATGAGATTGACTTCATTATGACAATCAGACACCAACTGTTCAGTGACGTCTCAGTGATCGCAAGGGTGAAAACTGGCAGCAGAAAACGTTAAGATGGAGAGGTCTCGTCTAATGAAGTCAACTCTCCGTCCCCTTCATGCTCTAATCCAGAATTCCGAAAACTTTCAGCTCGAGTTACGTTAAGTCGTCGAGTCGAGACGAGTTACGACAGCCTAGAAGATTGCAATGCAGTGGACGATATATACGGAGCTAAGTTCTGCAAGACCCGCCACAGAAGAACACAAAAACTCTCCAATCACACTCCTAATCTCATGGCTGTTAGATGGAAGATGAAGCTGCAATTGTCAACAGATTTGACAGCATACAGGCATCTGAACAGACAGATCTCCAAATGCATGCGGCGAGACTTACGCAACTTTAATACTGCTCGTATTGAAGAAGCGATCGAACGGAACCAGGGCTCCAAAGTCTTTGCCCGAGGTCTGTCTACCAGAAAGAGCCAACTGTCAATACTGAAGACTGAGTGCGGCAGCATCGTTTTCAAGACACATGAGATTTTGAGAGAGATTGAGAGGTTCTATGGGCAACTGTACACATCATCGTTGGAGCCACACTCAAGTGCGAGTAACAATCCAAGAGCAAGTCTTATCTAACACTATTCCGATGATAATCCGGACGTCAGTCTGAACGAGATTAGAATGGCTCTCCAGAACCTTAAAAACGGCAGGGCCAGGCGAGGATGGAATTACAGCAGAGCTTCTGAAAGTGGGAACATCGATACTTAAAGTCCTTGAGAAGCTCTTCAATTCCATCCTTCATGGTGGCACTACTCCAGAGGCGTGGAGCAGAAGTGCGGTGGTTTTCTTCTTTAAGAAAGGCTACAACGCTCTCTTGAAGAACTACAGACCGATTTCCCTTCTGAGCCGCGTGTACATGCTGTTTTCGAGTCATTACGAATCGTCTCGTACGTAGACTCGACGACTTGCAGCCTCCCGAACAAGCCGGTTTCCAAAAAGGGTTCAGTACCATAGACCACATACATACCCTGCGGCAGATTGTACAGAAGACCGAAGATTACAATCTGCCACTTTGCCTGGCGTATATGGACTATGAGAAAGCCTTTGATTCCATCGAAATTTGGGCGGTTCTACAGTCCCTTCAGCAGTGCCAAGTTGACTGTCGGTATATCGAAGCGCTGAAGTGTTTGTACAATAGGGCTGCGATAGCTATCCGAGTACAGGACCAGAACCTACAAGGTTTGAAACCTATCCAACTGCAGAGAGGTGTAAGACAGGGTGATGTTATATCCCCGAAACTCTTCACCGCTGCATTGAAAGACGTTTTCAAGTTACAGGTCCAACTTTGACCGAGAGGTCAATCGACGGATTCAACTCGGCTGGGCAGCGTTCGGGAAATTACGACACATCTTCTGGTCAGGTATACCTCAAAGTCTGAAAATTAGATTGTATTGTAAGGCCTGTAATGATCATCATCATCATCATTACAGCCCTTCACAAGTCCACTGCTGAACATAGGCCTCCCCCAAGTAATGCCACAAAGCACGGTCCTGAGCCACCTGCATCCATCGACTTCCTGCATATCTTACCAGGTCGTCACTCCATCTAGTGGGGGGTCGCCCTACACTACGCCTACCGGTACGAGGCTGTCACTCGAGAACCTTTCTTCCCCATCGGTTATCAGTTCTTCGAGCTATATGGCTGGCCCATTGCCACTTCAGCTTACTAATCCATTGGGCTATGTCGGTCACTCTGGTTTTACTGCGGATATCCTCATTTCTGAGTCTATCACGCAGAGAAACTCCAAGCATAGCCCTCTCCATAGTTCGCTGAGCGACCTTGAGCGTCCCCATACGGCCAGCAGTGAAGGACCACGTCTCAGATCCGTAAGTCATCACTGGCTACACGCACTGGTTGCACAATCTAGTTTTTAGAGATTGAGGTATACCTGACGAGATTATATGTCGTAATTTCCCGAATGCTGCCCAGCCGAGTTGAATCCGTCGATTGACCTCTCGGTCGAAGTTGGACTTACCTAGTTGGACTACTTGTCCCAGGTAAACGTACTAGTCAACAACTTCGAGCATAGTGCTCCCAACAACTACCGGCATAGGTGTGACATGGACATTAAACATAATCTTTGTTTTGTCCATCTTAAGACCTATCCTTTGGGAGGCACTATTGAGGTCATTGAGCATAGTGCTTAATTCCTTCAGCGATTCTGCCATAAAGACTATATCGTCGGCAAATCGAAGGTCAGTGATGTACTCGCCATTGATGTTAATACCGTATCCTTTCCAGTCCAGTAGCTTGAAAACGTCTTCCAATGCAGCGGTGAAGAGTTTCGGGGATATAACGTCACCCTGTCTTACACCTCTCTGCAGTTGGATAGGTTTCGAGCTCTGGTTCTGTACTCGGATAGCCATCGTAGCCCTACTGTACAAACACTTCAGCACTTCGATATACCGACAGTCAACTTGGCACCGCTGAAGGGTCTGTAGCACCGCCCAAATTTCGACGGAATCAAAGGCTTTCTCATAGTCCACATACTCCAGGCAAAGTGGCAGATTGTACTCTTCAGTCTTCTGTACAATCTGTCGCAGGGTATGTATGTGGTCTATGGTACTGAAGCCCTTTCGGAAACCGGCTTGTTCGGGAGGCTGGAAGTAGTCGAGTCAGCATGCGAGATGATTCGTAGTGACTCTCGAAAACAACACGTAGGCGCAGCTCAGAAGGGAAATCGGTCTGTAGTTCTTCAAGAGAGTGTTGTCACCTTTCTTAAAGAACAAGACCACCGCACTTCTGCTCCACACCTCTGGAGTAGTGCCACCATGATGCTGTAATGATGATGATGATTAATCAGCTCTCATAATAAAGAAACAAAACATTATATATAGACCTTATTACTCACCTTGATGAAAGAGGTAGTACAATCTGCAATGAATTTATGCTATCTAAAGTGTATGCTTCTTTTAAAATGGAATTTGTTGGATCTGTATAGCATAGCAGTTTTTGGTCGGAAAGGATGCAGTATCGTGATTGTGAATTCTTGAATAAGTCCTCTACAACTCCAGATACAATCTTTGTTAACATACCACTATAGTAGAGTACAGTTAAGTTATTTACTGTTGGTCTCTCAACTACTTCAACTTTTTGTGCTTGTTGTTTATTAGTTTTTTTACCATCTAATTTCAACATATTAGAAAACCTCTGCATGACAGAATGAGGTGCTTTTGTTTCCTCTGACGTAACTTTATTTTCAGCCACATTACTAACATACCAGTTAGAATTTGTATCTTTCTGAGGCTCTACAGATGCAGTTGCAACTTCTGTAGATTCATTTGGAAATAGACTATCAGACCTCTCCGGAGGAGTTGGTGGATTGAAATATTCACTTTCAATAATATCAAAATTATCTTCAGTACTGTCTGTTGAAATTATAGTACCATATGTATCCCCAATTAAAAAAGATTCTAATAAGAGAAGTTCATTGCTAACACCTTCATATTTAGTAACTGCCTTAGTTGTATTTAAAGGATCAAATTCAAAAATAGTACTCTTGCTTGCTCTTTCAATAGTCTCATTGCAAGATTTATTTGATTTTTGTGATGGCAGTGTCCAATTTTCATATAAAGAATTTTGTCTCATAAATTCAACTGTGCTTTCTCGTTTTTTACGCCTTTCTGGTACATCTGGTGAGGAAGTGATGCTGATGATACTATTTTGCCTTGATGGTTTTGGAGTGTCATATGTAGTTGGTTCACCATCAGTACTTGTTCCAAGATCATTGTTTTCTTGATCTCTACTGTCATAGGAAAAATTGCTTATACTATCTGGATTAGAATCAGAATTACTTGAGAAAAGTGATAAGTCATCTAAGTAAGAAGCATTTAAATGCAATGATGGTAAGTTATTTTGTGAATTGTCAACTTCTATATTATATCTCTTTTGCTCTAACAGTGGTGAATGAAATTGTATATTATCAAACAAGCTAACATCTACAACTGGCATAGACACACATCTTTGAGAATCTCCATCTGTTATGTTCTCATTTCTTTTCGATCGGCGCAATTTTAATCCAGCTGATCTTGTCCCTTCTATTACAGATTTGGCAACAGTATCTCTTACAGCCCTGGATGTAGTAAATGTTTTTTCAAGTGTCCCTTTGGCAAACCTAGAGCCATCGATAATTGACTTTTCTAACTTTTCGTTAGCTGTTTTAGCTGAACTACTTACTTTCAGGGCAACATCCTCTGTTATTTGTTTGGAGACAGAACCTATAGAACGTAATATGTCAGAAGCTGTAACTCGATCGTTGGATATCGGCACTTTTGTTCGTGGTAAAGGTACAGGTCTTTTTACACCCTCAGTTTGGGGCATGTATGCGCTCCGAGGTTTAGGCACGGGCGGCGTATCCATTAGAACAATATCTTCTTATTATGACGACCAATAATAGCTTGTAAAATAAAAACACAGCATTGACACAAAGTTGTTATGAACTTCAGAGTGAGTCATTGCAGGAGCCCACTTGTATTAGCCTAATTATCATATTCTAATTATTTGTTTCATTACTTATGTATAATTAATACAAAGAAACAAACAATAAAATCATAATCGAAAGCACTAATACTACACTGCACTTATAACAGAATTTACAAAATTCTAAGACAAAAGAAAAACACAAAAATTAAAAAAAAACTAAAATGAAGACGAAGCAGAGCCGACGTCGTCCCGTACAAAGTAGGCATGCAATCTTAGACCGATTAATCGATGAATCGAATTCTTGGGCCATAAAGATCGATTTTTAATCGATATACAGTAATGAATCGATCCAGTGAATCAATATTTCACCCTAGAGTCTTCGAAAGAAGACCGAATCTTTTTCTGTTTCATAAGAACTAAAATTATTCACAATTATTTAAATGTACCCTAACTCGTAAAGAACTACATTTTTTCTATTCAAAAACTAGCGAAACTGCTGTGTGCTCAGTTTCTTTTGCCTTTTCTTAATGGATTTATTAAATGAAAAGTAAGTTATGTTTGTAATCTGTACTTTGTACGAATCTGAAAACTAATCGAAAAAAGGATCTATTCTTCAAAATCGGTCTTTTAGACCTCGATTTTTATGTGAATTGATTTATCAGATATCGATTTAAATCGATTTAAGAATCGATCTTTTTCGGAAGGAATCGACATCCCTAGTACAAAGTACATGCATTCTGTGGCTCTGTGCAAAGAACCTACTCTGTGGCACAGACTAACTATGGATGGCTCAAGGTTCAGAAGGGAAGAACCCAGAGCCGTAAAGCCAGTTAATAAAAAATGGATGGGTGACTGAAGTTAGCCCTCCAAACATTTTTATTTTTTTAGTTCGTAGTTTGTTCTTGATTTTTCTCTATTAATAATTGTTTGTTCATCAATAATTTATTTCTAAATAACTAGTTTAAAATCAGTTTTAAAGTCCCCTCCCCTCTCCACTCCAATTTATAATTTCTTTCGTTATTATTTGGTCTCTATATTCATTAATGCCTGTTCTTTGATAAAATACATTTATTATATCAAAAATATATCTACTTTTGGTTTAATTAACTATTTTTATTTAGCTAAATAATTATACAGACGTAGTCATCATAGGGTTAAAATGTGTAACACACGGTCAGTTAAAGTCATCAGTCGAACTGATATCAATTCGAACGAATTTAAGCCAAAGAAATTTCCACACACACGATCAGTTCAACTGATCATTCCAACTGTGATATTAACAAACTAGGACAGTGATATTTTTAAAATATCATATTTTTTATATGTGGATAATTACAAATATATCAATTTTGAAGAAAGTTAATATACAGTAAGTCAATATCGTAGTAGTTTTATAAATCGAAAAAAAAATATCGGATTATCGGCTTTATAAAAAAAAACAACCGTAAGTCATTTTAGTTTAGTTCATTTATTATATTTCCTAGGCAATTTAAATTATAAATGTATGAAAATGTTAGATTATATTTCCTATTAATTATTGTTTAATTTAAATAAGACGCTTATGTGTATCAACATTTTTCCGTAAGAGTTTTAATAAATACTCGTTGTTTTATATGTTCTGATGTTAAATATGTTTAGAAGCGCAGGTGTTACATATGTAGCTGAAGAAATCAAATATTTAACAGCTATTTAGATAGAACGGGTTTAAACTGTCTACCCAGCAAACAATCGATGACGACAGTAACTCAAGTTCATAAGACGCCTAACCGATCAAAATAACTTAAAATTTATATTAACATCGAAGCACTTGTTTCGTCGTTTTCTCTAATAGTTTACATGCGCAGACACTTAAATCACAAAATCGTATCACTTTTACGAATCAATATCCAATTAAAACCATTGTTCGAGCGATAAAACAGAAGCAAAAATCCGTCGACGATCGAGTTCCCGCAAAAACACAGTTAGCAAAGGAGTTATAAGTTTCGCAAATTGTAGTAATTTTAATACCACAGAGATATACTATACAAAATTACATTTATTTTTTAGATAATAAGCAAATATAAAAAAATTGGGGGAAAATTAATAGAATAAAATAAAGTACAGAAGATTGAGTAGTAGTATATTAAATAATTTACGAGTTACGAGGCAAAATAAAAAATTAAAACTTTTTCACCCCGCGTGACCATGGTGACTATGGTTGCCATGGTATCGCCCCGCCTACCCGCCTCTGCGTCGAGCAACGAGCGAACTTTTTAATGCTACACTAACGGGAAACGTCAATGCCTATAAATGCACAAATGTAACGCGATAAAGTTGGATACACTTGAACTTTCTGACCGAGACGCAGGTGTCCTCTCCGGCTGATGTCTCGTATCTCTCCTACCCGGGGTACAAACTGGAACACTCCTTTGTGCCTCGGGCTGGAGTTTGCGTTTATGTCAGAGAGGACGTCTGTTCTCGACGCCTCGGCAGTCTTGAAGGTTCGGACCTGTCCATCCTTTGGCTACGCGTAGACAGCGACGACCATCCGCGCGTCTACGGGTGCCTCTATAGGTCCCATAGCGGTAATGCCGAAACAGACCGACTCTTCGATCACGTCCAAATGGCTACAGATTCGTTGCCAAAGCAGATCCCCTCCGCAGAGATCGTGATCGTCGGCGACTTTAACGCCCATCACGCCGAATGGCTTGGTTCACGTTTAACCGATCATGCGGGGAGATCTGTTCATGATTTTGCCTTGGCATATGGTCTGACTCAACTGGTTACTTCGCCTACGCGGATTCCAGATGTGGAGGATCATGCACCTTCCCTGTTGGACCTTCTGCTGACCTCTCACCCAGACGGATATCAGATTTCCGTCGACGCCCCTTTAGGCTCCTCGGACCATTGTCTTGTTCGGAGTGTGATGCCACTCACGCTGAAATCGCAGTTGTATTCTGCAGGCTGCCGCCGTGTTTGGCACTATAGGTCAGCCGATTGGGATGGGATGCGGTCTTTCTTTGCATCCTACCCTTGGGGGCGGGTTTGCTTCTCGCCGGACGATCCCAACTTTGTTGCGGATTCTGTCGCCGATGTGGTATTTCAGGGTGTGGAACTTTCGCCGTGAAAATGGTTCGCGGCTACCGCACGATCTCCCGCGAGGCGGCGAGCCTCCTTGCCGGATTGCCGCCATAGGATCTGGAGGCGGTAGTCCTCGCACGCCTGCACGAATGGCGCGCGGAGGCACTATGCCGAGGGGGAAACCCCGCTGCCGCGGCAAGTTGTCGCGCAGCGGATAGACTTCCGGCACGATCTCATGGCGACATGGAGAGAGCCACTGTCGCAACCCCGTGCTGGGCACGCCACTATAGCGGCGATAAGACCCCTCTTCGAAGAGTGGCTTAAGAGACGCCACGGCATCCTCACCTTCCGCCTGACGCAGGTCCTCACCGGACACGGTGTGTTCGGGAGGTTCCTGCACCGAATCGGGCGGGAGGAAACGCCCGGGTGCTCCCACTGCGAGGATGGACCGGAGGACACGGTGGAACACACCGTGGAGGTGTGCCCTGCTTGGGCGGAGCACCGCCGTGTCCTCGTAGCGGCGATAGGCGGCGGCGACCTCTCGCGTCCGGCCCTGGTCGAAGCCATGGTCCGGAGCGAGACGGAATGGGATGCCGTCACCACCTTCTGCGAAGCAGTGATGCTAGCGAAGGAGGTGGCGGAGCGGGAGAAGGAGAGAGCAGCACCTTTCCTCCCCGGCCGCCGCGGGAGACGCCCCGGGCGTCGGGGGCTACGTCGTGGCCCCCGGCCACCGTAGGCGCGGGCCTGTGGACGGCGAGCAATGGGTAGCTCGCCGTCCGTCCGTCTAACGACGATAGGCCGTGTCGACGGCGCGTTTTGTTCCACGCGCGCCTCAAAGAGCTGTCAGCAGCGTGAAGGGGCCCGTAAGGGCCAACGCCTGCCGGGGCTGCGGGCTGTTCGAAAGAGATACCGCGGCTCCGGAACGTAAGGGCACTGAAGGAACACGGATGGTTTTTAGTCAGTAAAAGTCTGACACTCCCTTACGCTCCACCCAGAGCGAAAGGGGTCATTAGATGATTTTCCATCCGCAAAAAAAAAAGGGTATGAAACTTTTCATTCCTTCCTCTGTGGTGCCCATCGGAGGCAAATCTCAGCCATGGTTTGGTCGCTCCTGTAAAATAGCATCATGCTATAAGCAGGAGTGCTACCAAGCCTGGGCTGACGCATCAGCGTCTCGGGATGTAAACAGCAGCGCTCTAAAAAAGAAGTATAATTCCGCCTCTAGGTCCTTCAAAAGAGTCATTGCCAAGGCAAAGTCTGAGCACATAGGCAGAATTGGCGAGAAACTATTTCGCCTTCCTTCTGGAACCCGTGCATTCTGGTCTCTCGCCAAGGCTGTCCAGGGGAATTTCTGTCAGCCATCTCTTCCATCTCTGCACAGGGAGGACGACTCACTGGCCCATACCGCAAAGGAGAAAGCCGATCTTCTAGGCTCTTACTTTGCGTCCAACTCGACCCTCGATGACGAGGGGATTACGCCGCCGACCATCCCGCGGTGTACGTGCTCCATGGCGGAAGTGCAGTTCACACAGCGCACGGTTCGGAAAGCACTCCTCTCCCTGGACATTCACAAGTCGAGTGGGCCTGACGGAATCCCCCCAATTGTGCTGAGGACGTGTGCTCCAGAGTTGGCACCGGTTTTAACGCGTCTTTTCCGGTACTCCTACTCCCTAGGCTTAGTCCCAAAATTATGGAAGACGGCTTTCGTCCACCCGATCCCTAAAAAAAGGCGACCGCTCAGACCCGTCCAACTACCGGCCTATCGCCATCGCCTCCTTGATCTCCAAAACAATGGAGTCCATTGTAAACTGCCACCTCATGAGGTACCTTGAGGATCACCAGCTGATTAGTGACCGCCAATACGGTTATCGCCGTGGTCGGTCAGCTGGTGATCTTCTGGTCTACCTAACTCACAGATGGGCGGAGGCAGTAGAGTCCAAGGGGGAGGCATTGGCCGTTAGTTTGGACATTGCGAAGGCCTTCGATCGGGTTTGGCACAAAGCGCTTCTTTCGAAGCTCCCTTCCTATGGGCTTCCCGAGAAATTGTGCGATTGGATCACCAGCTTTATTGCAGATCGGAGCATCAAGGTCGTTGTAGACGGTGCAAGCTCCGATTGCAAGCCTATTAACGCTGGTGTTCCACAAGGCTGCGTGCTATAGCCAACGCTGTTTCTTCTGCATATCAATGATATGTTGCAAACCCGTAGCATTAATTGCTATGCAGATGACAGCACTGGTGATGCTCTTTACACCGGCCAATATTTCTCGGGAAAACGTCTCCGAGTGCCGGGACAAACTTGTGTCTGAAGTCGAGTCTTTGCTGAACAGAGTCTCGGATTAGGGCCGACTAAATCTAGTCCAGTTAAACCCCCAGAAGACACAAGTTTGCGCATTAACGGCTAAAAAGAACCCCTTTGTCGTATCTCCTCAGTTTCAAGGCACTCCCCTTGTTGCCTCAGCCAGTATCGGAATCCTCGGCGTCGACATATCGAGTGACGTGCAGTTTCGTGGTCACTTGGAAGAGAAGGCCAAATTGGCCTCTAAAAAGCTTGGCGTGCTCAGCAGAGCGGGACAGTATTTCATGCCGGCACACCGCCTGCAACTTTACAAGGCGCAGGTTCGGCCGCACATGGAATACTGTTCCCATCTCTGGGCTGCGGCTCCCCAGTACCAGCTCCTTCCACTTCCACCGCATCCAGCGCAGAGCGGCTCGAATCGTCGACGACCGAGTGCTTTCCGATCAGCTCGATTCACTGGCACTGCGAAGAGATGTTGCATCTCTTTGCATTTTCTTTCGCATATACCATGGAGAGTGCTCTGAGGAATTGTTCGGATTAATCCCAGCCGCCAAATTTCGTGAACGCACTACGCGGCAAACGTCCCGATACCATCCACACCATCTGGATGCTTGGCGGTCCACCACTGTACGTTTCAAGAGGAGTTTTCTTCCGTGTACAACCTCTCTGTAGAATAGTTTACCACCAGCGATTTTTCCGGAACGATACGACCTGGGGACCTTCAAGAAAAGAGATTACTCCTTTCTAAAGGGCTGGCAACGCACCTGCAATTCCCCTGGTATTGACGGTTTATCATGGGCGGCGGTAGTCACTTAACATCAGGGGAGTCGCATGCTCGTTTGCCCCCTCTTCTATATAAAAAAAAACGCTCCACGTCATTAAATTTCAATGCCATTGAACGGCGTTAAAGTTGGCGTTAATGTTCCTTGAAGACTTTTTAAAAATTGTGCTATAAAAACCCATTAGGTTTTCCTTCGCCTTTCTAATTCTTCGATAGTTGTATTAAAAATAATAATTGGGTAATTCGTCGCAAAGCATCATTTTGCGCTGTACGATTCTCAAAACTTTTGAGTCTTGGATCCCACAAACATGGCTCTGTTTGCAGTATCTTTAGAAACTTAATAACTTTTATATTATTCCGCTCCTCATAGCCATACGTGCGACCTTGTTGCGCTCATCGTGCACAGTCAGACAAACGTAGTGTGGCCACTTTAACGTGTGATTTCGTGCGTTAATCTCTTTGATGAACCGCTACTCGATTTATCGCCAAACGGCAAATAGTTAATGTCATTGTCAAATAAACGCGTTAAGTCGTGGCCACACCTACAATCAACATCCATCAACGCGATAATTAACGGCATTTCTCGTTAGTGTGGCCCCAGCATAAGATTGTACAAAAATGATAAAATAAACAAGCTCCGTGGCGCAGTGGTTTAGCAATGAGTTGCCGCGCTGGGGGCTATGGGTTAGAATCCCGTACGGAAGAAGTGTTTGTATGTTCTACAAATAATTGTTCCGGGTCTGGATGTTTGTCCTTGTGCAAATTATGTTTGTAAACAGCCTCCACGATACATGAGAAAATCTTAGTGTGCAGGTAATGGTTTTTTAAAGAAAACGTCTAGAATTAATAAAATAATTATTTGATTTGTTTGATAATCAAATATGTTGAGTTCTATAAAATAATTTTTCGTATTGTATTAAGTTACATAACACACACACACACACACACACACATATATATATATATATATGTATATATATATATATATATATATATATATATATATATATATATATATATATATATATATATATATATATATATATGTGTGTGTAGCTACTAAGAAATTAGGTACTTACCATTACCAAAAATTAAAAGGAACTGAAGCCAGCGGAGTACAGTACGCCTGGAAAACTATGTGGAGTGCCGTCAGTTAAAAATTTCAACTTAAGATTTCGCACTCACGTTTTTGTATTTACGTCAGTTCGACTGAGCAATTTCAACTGACAGTGCGACCAAAAAAATCCGTGGGTTGTCGTCAGTTGAAAATTTTAACTTAGGATTCCACAGTCATGGTCAGTTTTGGATGTACGTCAGTTCAACTGATCATTTTCACTGACCGTGTGTGACCTCCATTAGTTGAAAGAACTTCCAATCCTCCAATCCAATCCAAAACTAATTTATTATATCAGTATCCTTATTGCTCTTTACAACATTTGTATTGTATTATGTATGTAGCCACTAAAATGTCACTAACACGTCAATTCACACGTATAAATGTTAACACGAGATGTGTTTTAACGTTACAATCGTTTCCAAATTTTGCATGGACGTTAAAATAAACAAGAAATTATACAAAAATCGATCCAGTCTTAATGCCAAAATAAAATTAAATAAAAAAAATAAAAAATGTCGTCAATTTAAGGTGTACATGTCAACAGTTATCAAGTCAAGTCAAGATTATATGAAATATCACTTTGGTCGATAACAATAAAATTCATCTAGGGAATAAAAACAATTCTGAATAAGCCATTGCTTCAATGTTTTTTGAAAAAAGTTAAATGGCAATTTTCGAATATCACTGGGGATTTTATTATATACTTTTATACACATATTGGGACAACTCTTCTGATAAAAGACAGTTTTACATTTTCGTAAAAGTCTTGTAACATCTCTATGCGGAAATGTTTTATCTGTATAATTATCAATACATCTTTGAAATAAATGTGGATATTTCTTTACAAACGTTTCAATTTCATACACGTACATGCAACACAGTGTCATAAGTTTTAACTGTTTAAAAAATGGTTTACAAGAATCAAAAGGTCCACATCCACAAATCGCCCGTACACATTTCTTTTGGATGAGGAATGCTCTATTAAAAACCGTTGAATTGCCCCAGATCAATAAACCATAGCGTAGCACGGACTCTACATATCCATGATAAGCTGTTATAGCAGCTTCTTTACGTGTTAAATTGGTTAGTCTTTTAAGTGCATTAAGTAATTTATCTAATTTATCACACATTAAGCTTATATGACTTTTTCAACTACATTGCTGGTCTAAAAAAAGGCCGAGGAATTTTATTTCAGCAACCTTTTCAATTTCTTGGTTATAACTCACGACTTTTATTTTAGGGACATTTGCCCGGTTAGTGCAGAATGTAATATATTTAGTTTTGAGTAGATTGGGACATAAATTATTACTTTCGGTGCCAATTTATTGTAGATGTGAGAGTATTGTTAACTTTAAGTTCATAATCAGATGGCTTTTCTTTACCTGCTATCATAACTGATATATCGTTGGCATATAGAGTACAATGTTGATCGATTGCCAATGGAAGGTCATTAATATATAAAGTAAAAAGTAAAGGACCAAGAATTGTACCTTGTGGTACACCTTTTGTAGTGGGTTGTAATTTAGACCTATATGTGAAATGTTCATAAAATTAATAAATCCTAGTTATTTGAACACATTATGTCCTCTAATGCCATATTTTTCAATTTTATTTAGCAACAGTTCGTGGTCTACAAAATCGAATGCTTTACTCATATCGAAAAAGACACCAGTAACATTCATACCTTTATCAATGTTTTCTGTTATGTGCTGAGTTAGTGTGTAATTAGCTAGTGTTGATTTTTCTTTTCGAAAACCGTTTTGTTCTTCTCGTAAAATCTTATGTTTATTTAGAAAACTATACAGTCTAGTACGCATTGCTTTTTCAAATATTTTAGTTAATATTGGAATAAGAGCAATAGGTCTATAATTATTAATTTCGTTTTTGCTGCCCGCTTTATGAATTGGCTTAATCACAGAAATTTTAAGTTTGTTTGGAAAGATTCCATATTCAAATGATATATTAATAATTATAAGAAAGAACTGGAGATACCAAATCAGCACAAGACTTTAAAATTTTTGTGGAGATTCCGTCATAACCCACTGAATTTGTATTATTTAAGCCTTGAATAATTTTTTTAATTTCTTCGCAGAGCAGGGTTGCAGAAATATACTGTTATTTTTGATATCAACGTACTTTAAGGGAAAACTTTTATTTTTTATCATAGTTTTTTTTTTGGTAAATTTGTAAAGAAGCTGTTAAATATATTTGCTATTTCTCCAGGATCTTTAATCTATTTTTTATTTTTGTGAATCGAAGTAATGTCCTTATTTTTCCGTAAATCATTTGATGACTCTTTGATGAGATTCCAAGTAACTTTACACTTATTTTTAGCTTTATTAATGAAATTATTGTTTGTGTTGATTTTTGCTTTAATGATACAAGATTTTAAAATTTTACTATACGTTCTGACATGTGTTTTCCTAATATCTGTTTCGTTAAAAAAAAATAAAGACATTAATTTTCTTTTTGTGCAACTTGATTTCTTAATTCCCTTTGTGATCCATTTTGTGACCGAATTGAATCTTTTTATATTAATTCTTAAAGTGGGAAAGCAGAGATCATAGAACATTATCAATGTTTTCATGAAAATTATTAAAAGCGGAGTTAACATCCTTGTATTCAATTACATCTTTCCATGAGATACTGGAAAGGCACTGTCTAAATTTTGTAATATATTCTTTGTTTTAATCCCTAATAAATATAAAGTGATGTGATTTAAATTTATGTGTTAAAGCTGTTGGTGTGAATTCTAACGTTTGTGCTGTGTCATGGTCTGATAAATGAAGACATGTGTTACCTATTGCATTAGAGACATTGCTTGCAATATGGACTAAGCATGATGTTTTGCGAGTTGGGCCCAATATATGTGGTTTCAAATTTTAATTTGCTAAAATTAATTTTAATTCTATCAATTTATTATTTACAAAATTATTAATATTAAAATCGCCTGCTACTCGTATTA